GGAGAGCGTGAATGATCAGGCCAGAGTCCTCGACGAGCCGTTGCCGTTTCTTCGACCGATTTTCACCCTGGTAGACACGATGGCTGGAGGGAGTAGCGTGTTTGTTAACGACGCTACACGCCATTGTTGCATCAGTCTTCCCAGCGCGCTGGTGGTTGGATAGTCCACCTTCCACGCTATTTGACCATTCACGCTCACTGACGTTACCAAAATCTCTCCGCTCTCCAGCCATCGTGTTCACTGCCTTTGAGGTCTACAAGGCTGTTCTCGTATTTCACTTAGGGTGACTAGATGCCTGCCGCAAGTGTTTACAGCAAGCGTTTATAGCAGTTTCTCAAATTGGAAACCCATATAAAATTTTCAAAGAAAGTTGTTTTGAGGAACACTCAGGAGAATGAAGAAGACACGCCATCCCGTACCTAAAAAACGGAGCTACGGTAGTCGCGGTTGGACCAGTCAACGACGTGGCGCTCTTCCCGTTTTCAATCTTTCAAGGAGACAGTGTTTTTATGATGCGAAACAATCCTTTAGACAGAAGTAATGAAAATAATTCACAGTGGGGTGGGGGAAGGGCGGGGTAGACGTTCGTTGCTGCGGAGTGGGGAAAGGCTCGAAAACCAGAATGAGTGGTCTCACCTCTCTCGGTGAGTCGCGCTGCGCCCCGGCGATGCACCCCCTTACTCCAAACTGGAGTGGCATCAAATTCTGATCCTTGCTCACACTGGTGCAGACGGTTTGGCAAAGCTTGGGCAACCGAGACCGAGTGGTAGTTTATTCTATGTCCGCGCTATTTTTTCTCATCGAGTTGAAACAATATGGGTACTCGTTCCCTATTCTGGAATTTAATCGTGATCCATACTTCATGATCTTTGGAATCTACCTTACAGGTGCTCTTCAAGAGTCAATTAACCAAGAGTAGAGTTGAACATCAGCTTCTGCGAGAAATCGAAATACAAGCACATTTGAGGTGACTGCTTTTCTTCCACTCGTTAAATGGATTTTTGTTTTTTGCAGCTTTGTCCAGCTCGCACGGAATCTGATCTACACCTCCCCTTCAGTTGTTTTGTTCAGCAGTTTCGCATCTAATTTTCATTCTTTTGAAACCTTTTTTTATTACGCTTTACCATTTCGTTTTACAATGGAGCCCATCTTTCATCTCGCCGTAATGGTGGGACTAAGTACTTGGAATAAGTACCGATTCTACGCGCTTTTGACCGAAATCCCTTATCTATGTAGCGGCGAGTGGGGCTGCCTACCACAGTCCACAGGGTTAAATTCTGGATCAACTCCTGTCCACGTCAACCAAGCCTTTTTTCTCTCCTGGCTTGGTCAGTTGATTCAAATTGATTCATAGTCTGGGACAGAAAACGCAGCACATCGGTTTCCCATCGCAAGTCGTTGTATGGGCCGAATCGCATTCAGCTGCCGCCACGTCATTGAATGGAGGTAGCATGCATGGCGCATCCCGAAAGAGCTTGTCATGTCGATGTTTCACCGTTATCCTTATATGTACGGTAAACCTGAGCATGGAGGCATGGGGTCAAACTTTTATCGATATCGTCCAATGAGTATTTTTTTCGGGATTAACGTTGGAACGTGAATGATGGAAACTATTTTATCTTGGGGCTTGCTTTTCAAGCACGTTCAGTCACGAACCTATGAGACATATTCGTCCCAGACTTTTAACCCACTGCGGTCGATTCGACCAAGTGGTCAAAAATCCCATCCAAAAGGGTTTGGGAGCAGACACCGTTTGAAACAGTCAGTGCCCAGGACAAACCAGGAGACTGTTTCAAACGGTACCTGCCCAGTGGGCACCCCACAGCGGATTGATATCACCAAAAGAAGGGGATGTTTTGCAAGGTTACAACTGTTATTATTGTTGTTGTTGATTTTGTTAAGTATTTTAGTTCGTTACTCATGTGAACCTATACTTTTGGGCCACTATATTTTTTGGAAAAAAATCGTGTTTGCTATTTTTCCGACTCTCTGCATCAACAGAGCTCCTCTAAGGTATTGCTGTTAAAAATTGGAAATGGACCAGAAATCATTCAGAGTATCGAGGACAAATGGTGTGAAAATATAAATACTTCTGGGACACACTGTATATTTTATCCTAGGCATCCAAACATTCTTCGCATGTACACCTACTTCTGGGACAAAGGGAAAGTTTATCTCGTATTGGAATATGCACAAGTACGCCTTTTTGTCAATACCACCAGTTATTTTGGCCTTCGACGAAGAGATTCTTCAGGGTGGTGAGATGTACAAGCTCTTGAAGAAGAGGAATCGCTTTGATGAAACCACTGCTGCAGTGGTATGTGATTCATGACTATCCTCTCATTCGATCTACAGTCAAGTTCTTCTTTCAGTACATGTATCAGGTGGCAGATGCATTGAAATATTGCCATGAGAAGAAGGTCATCCATAGAGATATAAAACCAGAGAACTTACTTATTGGCTTCGATGGAGAGCTTAAGATTGCCGACTTTGGATGGAGTGTTCATGCGCCACAAAAGAAGTGCGTTCTGGTCTTCACACTATGAGCTTTCAGTCGCTTAGATTTTGATCAGGAAATATAAACGACTCTTCAGTTCCATTGGATGAATGTTATTTTTGTGCTATAATTGGGCGGAAGTGGTGTAGTGGCAAAGTGGCACGCTTACCACGCGAGCGGTCCGGGGATCAAATCCTGGGTCGTGAGTCGCCCGGGCCAACCAAGCCTTCCATCCCTCCGGGGTCGGTTAATTGGTACCAGACTTGTCTGGGAGGATAAAAACACTGACTTGTACATCGGCTGGCCCCCGCAAGTCATTGTATAGGCCACATCGCATTCAAACGCCACTACGAATGTACAAATGGAAGTAGAATGCGTGCCGCATCCCAAAAAGGGATTGATCAACGGCAAATGCTTTATCCTTTATCCTTTTTATTTTCGCTAGATATGCGCCAAAACCTTCCTGTACCTTGTCTACAGCTGATTAGTTGCTGATGAGTGGTGATGTCATCTGCGGACCGCGCACCATGACCTACTCATCTTTACTCGGACCGGAGGAGCTTTTTACTGGACAGCCGTTTTGGCAAGAGAACCGTCAGCTTGTCCATTTGCAGCTAGTGCCAGGCGATGAAACGCAGGACGCTTTGTTGCTAGCTCACCCCTACTTCTAGATGCAATCTGCTTCAATACAAGAGTAAACGTTGGAATTGCAAATAATTCGTACACTGTGTCTGGATCCAATGCCTAGGGACATTTCTAACTTCCTGCTTTACATAAGCAGTGATTTAAATTTTGAACTATCTGATTTAAGACGTCAGACGATGTGTGGAACCTTAGATTACTTGCCGCCGGAAATAGTCTTGGGAGAGGAACACAAAGAACAGGTGAGTGTATTTAAATTTGACTATTCCAGATCATATTGACTGGAAACGGATATTGGAAAAGAATTTGTTTTTCTAACTGCATTTTAGGTGGATATTTGGTCCATTGGCGTGCTGTGTTATGAATTCCTAGTCGGCACACCTCCGTTTGAGCATGAGGATTCTGCTAGTACGTATAGGGCTATTAACGATGTATGTGGATCCATTTTCGAGATGTTATAGTTTTCATAACCGCGTTGTTAGATGTGGTGCTTAAAAGCGAAGTTAAGAGATATACACGATGTGCAATAGAAAACGCCAAAGGAGTTGGGTGATAAAAGAGTTAGTCGCTGACTGTAACCGCATCAAATTTCACGTTATCAGTCTTGAGCTTACTCAAGTTTTTTACTCAGTCCGTTTTTCGGCGTCACTTCGCAAGTAATCACACCCTGTTGCTGTTAGATTGGTGGGAAAGTTCCCCGCTCTGCTCTTTCTTGGAATTATTATATTTTGATTAACAACCGGCCTGGAGAGCAGAGAACTGCATCACCGCTGTCCACCGCTCGATGCCTGAGCTTGGTTGACTTCTTGATTCCCTTCTCCAAGAAAGGCAGTAGCTGAAATGCTAGGAAATTGCCTAGTGTCTCCCTTACTTCGTCATCATCCTCCTCGAAATTTTACTCGTGCAGGAAGAATGAAGGCGACCGAATTGTGCAATTCGGGGTGTAGAGAAGCTAAGAACATCGGCCACTCGTTATTCATGCTGGGTCGCCTCTCCATGTGGAGTTGTAGTAGAAGTAATGGCCGCTTCTAATCCGTGGCTGTGTTAGTGCCGACTGGGACTCACCCCAGACCTCTAGCCTCGCTCCGTCCGATCACGGACTCTCGGCT